TTGCGGAGGCGCTTGAAGACACGATGGTGACAGCGATTGGGGCTGGAGCTACTCCTATGATGAGAATGAACTATGAGCAGTCGTTAGATCCGGATGGCGATCCGACGCCTGAGGCGATGTTTGAAGGGAGGATTAGTGGGGTTATGGTGGAAGAGAGAAGAGACACGGGAGAGCTGGTAACGGGGGAGAGGGAAGATGAAACAAATACACTAAAGGTTCCAAATGGAGATGCGGGTAGGAGGGGCAATTCGAGCCGCCACGACGACCCATGAGTGATGTGATGTCCCTTTTTTTATTTTTTATTTTGGTTAATTTGTTTATTGAACTAGTTCCAGTTGATGTTCATTTTGTAAGTTTGTTTATTGCGGTCGAAATCTTATTCAAGCTTAACTTGTCATGTATGTATGTAGTCTACGTATCGAGAAGATAAAGTCTCAGACAGAGGAGTTAGTGTGGTCTATGATTCCATTTGTCGTGTCGTAGCGTTCAGACGTTATGTGTTCACTCACACGAAGTCACTCGTCTTAGGCCAGATTAGATTAGATAAGATATACCGTGGGCCAGACCCGATTAGCCCATCAATGATGACTCTTAATTGCTCTTCCCCGTGACTCCGCCGCGAAACTACTAAACGCGTCCCCCGTCGCGACTTTTTTTCAATTCTCAGCACCACATCCCTCACACCTCCGAATTGCCACTGAACCATCCATCGTGTGAAGTCCACCACGACCGTCATGCATCGCCCCAAGGTAGCCAAGGTGGTAGCCGACGAAAACACAAAGACTCCGCTCAAACGAACCGCTACACGACTCTACGGTAGCGCCACCACGGACACACTCACGAAGCTCGTCAAGCCGTTCAAATGTCCCGGCTCAGCTCCACAAACCCGTGAGCGCGCCCTACCAGCAAGAAAGAAGCGTAAGGTTTCCTACAAGGATCAGGATGGAGGTGATGACGATGGCGAATTCGTGAAAGAGGGCGAGGAGAAGAGAGTTGTGCTGGGGAATTTGGAGAAGAACAAGGCGTTTCCGGTCTTTAAGCCGAAGGACAAGGAGACGATGTTTAGACAACGTTTTGCAGTCCCGCTTATCAACAAGAATGCCGGGGGTTATGATGCTCAGAGACCGGCACCGGCATTGGGGATGAGGAAGAGAGCCAATTTTATTGCGAGACCGCTACACGATCCAAGTGGCGAGTTTTCAATTGTACTTTACGACCCGACGGTAGATGATAAGAAGGTCGAGATTACAGAGGAAGATGGAGAAGTGAAGATACAAACAGTATCGAAGGTCCACAGGAGCTTGGCAGATATATTAGGGATAAATAAGGATGCAAAGGAAGAGATACCCAAGGTACCTGTGGTCATTGATCCCAGGTTGGCTAAAGTGTTAAGACCTCATCAGGTCGAGGGTGTGAAGGTTTTTATTTCTGCCAATCGACTATGATATTCGGAAAATGCTGACATTCTTTCTAGTTCTTATACAAGTGTGTTACGGGCATGATCGATCCCAAAGCCAATGGCTGTATCATGGCCGACGAGATGGGTCTCGGGAAAACATTACAATGCATAGCCCTCATGTGGACTTTGCTCAAACAATCTCCAGAGCCCGGAAAGCCAACCATTCAAAAGTGCGTCATCGCATGCCCTTCATCGCTAGTCCGCAATTGGGCCAACGAATTGGTCAAATGGCTCGGAAAGGATACTGTCACCCCGTTTGCAATTGACGGTAAAGCATCAAAGGCCGAGCTTACAGCACAATTAAAGCAATGGGCAATTGCCAGTGGCAGAAGTGTAGTAAGGCCTGTTTTGATAGTAAGTTACGAGACGTTACGTCTGAACGCCGGCGAGCTCGCGGGAGTACCTATTGGACTTTTGCTTTGTGACGAAGGACATCGACTGAAGAATGGAGAGAGTCAAACTTTCACCGCCTTAACTGCCCTTAATGTCGACAGGCGAGTTATCTTATCTGGAACGCCCATTCAAAACGATTTATCTGAATACTTTTCTCTCCTCAATTTTGCCAACCCTAATCTTCTTGGTACTCGTCTAGACTTCCGCAAGAAGTACGAACTACCCATTCTACGTGGTCGTGACGCCGATGGTACCGAGGAAGAACGTAAAAAGGGTGATGAATGCCTCAAGGATCTTGCCGATCTCGTTAATAAGTTTATCATCCGCCGAACGAACGACATCCTATCGAAATATCTTCCCGTCAAATACGAGCATGTGGTATTCTGCAAGCTTGCACCATTCCAGGAGGCACTATACAAATACTTTATTACCTCACCTGAGATTAAAAGCTTACTTAGGGGCAAAGGCTCTCAACCTCTTAAGGCTATCGGTCTACTCAAAAAACTATGTAACCATCCCGATCTACTGGATCTCCCCGATGATCTTCCGGGATGCGAGAATTTATTTCCAGAGGATTATATCCCTAAGGATGCCAGGAGTAGCCGAGACCGCGAGGTCAAGACATGGTATTCCGGAAAGATGATGGTTCTAGACCGAATGCTTGCCCGTATTCGCCAAGACACCAATGATAAAATCGTCCTCATCAGTAATTACACCCAAACCCTTGATATTTTTGAAAAACTTTGCCGCAGCCGAGGTTACGGTTCTCTCCGACTTGACGGCTCAATGAATGTCAATAAGCGCCAAAAGCTCGTGGACAAATTCAACAATCCCGAAGGTGAAGAATTCGTTTTTCTACTTTCGTCCAAAGCTGGTGGATGTGGTCTCAACCTTATCGGTGCCAACCGCTTGGTCCTCTTCGATCCAGATTGGAACCCCGCTGCTGACCAGCAGGCGCTGGCTCGTGTTTGGCGTGATGGGCAGAAGAAGGACTGTTTCGTATACCGGTTCATCGCAACCGGTACCATTGAGGAGAAGATCTTCCAGAGACAGTCACACAAGCAATCTCTCTCATCGTGCGTCGTTGACGGGGGTGAGGATGTGGAACGCCATTTCACTCTTGACTCATTAAAGGAGTTATTCCTGTTCCACCCGGACACAAATAGTAACACGCACGATACATTTAAGTGTAAAAGATGCAAGGACTGGAGACAGTTCATTAAGGCGCCGGCCATGCTTTATGGTGATACGAGCACCTGGAATCATTTTAGTGATACTAAAGGAGGCGGATTGGAGAGTATTCAGGATCTGCTATTGAGACAGGAAAGTGGGAAGGAGATCGTCAGCAGCTGCTTTCAGTATATTTCTCATTAGTTTCTTTTCTGTCTGTACATTGGGATTCTTTTGTTATTATGGTGTTTTGGTCTTGGTTACTATGGTTATGGTCGTATTGATAAAACGGAGGCTTTTCTATTGCTTTCTATTCTGGGATTAGACATTGATATACTCATTATACAATGTTTTTGCGAAATACCTGTCTTACTGGGGGTGATATCCTTGTTATGTTTGTTTATGATAGTCAATTTTCGATGAAGTGGTGCTTAATCAATTAGTTTCTAATTAGGGCATGCTAGATCATATTGTAGAGACCGCATAAGGTATCAGAGAGGTGCTCCTTCAACTAAACCCATCTCCTCCTGTTGATCAGATCATCTAAATCCCCCCAGCCCGTCAATCTAAGTCCACACTCCCAATCTCATACCTGTTATCTATAACATCCTAATCCATACGAACCCAAGTAATCGTACGAGATCGTATGTAGGTCGATTGTCCTGCAGGAATATGTGTTAGGTGAGAGACTCCATTCATCAATACAAAAGATTATCCGTTTTGCACTTTAGCTTACTTTAATCCCAGTAGATTTGGCTGACCAAATCATGCTACACTCACAGCCTACCGAGATATACCCGGTACTGATAGATCTACAAGCCATCGAAAGGTCGAAGGGAAAGGGCGAGAATGACTCGTGTGCCATTCAGATTGATGCTCCTGGACTATACCTATATTACCAAATACATATCAGATTGTCAAGTATAGATGTGGGTAAGTATAAGATAAAATCACTACACTAGTCCCGTAATTTTAAAGAAACTCGATATAGTTATCCTTTCTTTGAACTTCTTTAAAGGAGACCATTTCTCCTATTTACGGCCGTCTATTAAATTTAAAAGTTTCCGGAACTGGCGGGAAGCCCGGGGAAACTTCTTTAACGGTGTCGATTGGTCAACTGAATTTTATGAGAGTTGCTTTACTGTAGTACTACTATCGATTTGATAGTCATCTGCATGCCGACATAATCGTGCCTCTTTCTTCCCTGGACACGGGTAGCTACACGGAACAACCGTTTGAAGGTGACATATTTTCGTATTAAGCTTTTTTCGCACCGTTCCTCCTTCCGACCTCCTCAACCCAACCGCTACAAGCAACAGGAGGGCTCCTCCAGTAGCAATTAGCACCAGGTAGAGCTTAGTGTCAAGAATACACGAAAACCGCACTCTACTATGGCCTCCTTTATTAGGATACATGCTCTCTGGACCCTCAAGTTAGGAAGGTAAGAGCTTGTTACGGTACGGGATGTCATACTACATACAGTTAAACAGTTTATAACAATTATCAGCATGATCAGCATCTACCATCCGTACCTCAACAAGAATCGACATGCTGGAAACATTAGGATTTCGGCATTTCGATAAAGGCTGTCACAACTCCACACCTCAATTTTTGAGAGCTCTCATCCTCCGATTGGTCGCTCCATACCGACCCACTGGATCGCGTATCGCGCCTCCTTTGGCGAGATCATCACCGCAGGGATTAAGTACCGGGCAGGGTGCCACACACAAGGATTACAGAAAAATCCGCAGGAGGAGAAACGTAAGGACGGGGAGGGTCCGGAATTTACTCGGCGGGGAAAGGAAAAGAAGAGCGATTAGTAAAAGCAAAAATGATCTGCTCCCCTGCCGAGTCTCACGATCCGTCTGGCTGCATACATTGCGCGCGTGAGTAAAAGTAAAACACAACATCTGCGTCACAACATAAAGCCTGCTTCTCCAGCAGAAGGAAGAGTTCCTCAACACCAAAGCATCACAGCATGGAGAAGTTATCACAGCAATCCTCACTCAGTGGCGGTAACAGCGGAGAAGAAGGTTACGATGTCGAGTTTGAGAAGCAGCTTGTTAGGAAGCTGGATAGGCATATCATACCCGTGATTATGCTACTGTATCTTTTCAGTTTTCTTGATAGGTACTGGACTGCGCCCTGTTGTGATTGTTGTTAAGGGAACAATTGAGTTAATGGCAGCTTCTACAGAGTTAATATCGGGAATGCGAGACTTTACGGTTTAGAGGAGGACCTGGGACTTCATGGGAACCAGTATCAGGTCGCGGTATCGATTCTGTTTGTTACTTACCTTGTGAGTCCCTATACTTCTTGCATTTTAGTCCAAGAGTCTTTGCTCTGATACTGTTACTGTAGCTCTTTGAGATTCCCAGCAACCTCGTGCTGAAGAAATTTACACCCCGCCGCTACAGTAAGTATCTCTATTCTTACCTGGAATCACAACCACTGACAACATAGTCGCCCTCATCACCTTAATATGGGGTATCATAGCCACTCTAACCGGTCTCGTCCACTCCTATGGCGCCCTCCTCGCTTGCCGCCTCCTCCTCGGCGCCGTCGAAGCTGGGCTCTTCCCCGGCCTCACAGTGTATCTCACCTTCTTCTACAGCAAGCGTGAGCTGGCACTACGCATTGGATACCTCTTTGTCTCCGCTGCACTGGCCGGCGCATGTGGTGGTCTGTTGGCATACCTGATTGGTTTCATGGACGGCGTGCAGGACATGCGAGGTTGGAGGTGGATCTTGATCATTGAAGGGATTCCGACGATCATTCTGGGCATTGCTACGTACTGGTGGTTGGCTGATAATGTTGAGACCGCTGGTTACCTATCGGAGGAAGAGAAAGCTTTCCTCGTGAAGAGGCGCGGGAGAGAGGTTACGAATACGACAAGTGCGCAAGCATTCCACTGGGCAGATGTTAAAAAATGCTTCACGGATTGGAAGTGCTGGGCTTTGTATGTTGCTCCTCTGCCACGCTTTGAGACTTTACCAATGACTGACTCTTGGATACAGTGCATTCGCACAGTTCGGGATCGACACCATGCTCTACGGTTTCAGCACTTTCTTACCCACCATCATCAAAGCTATCGGCCATTGGTCCAACCCGCAAGTGCAAGCACTAACAATTCCCTGTTACGCTCTCGGCGCGATAACCTACCTCCTCGTTGCACGACTATCAGACGCACACCAGAAGCGCGGTCTCTTCGCGGTAATCTTTTGCTGTATCTCCATCGTCGGATACGGGATACTGCTATCAGATGCGTCCAGCGGCGTGCACTATCTGGGGTGCTTCTTGGTTGCCATGGGACTGTATGTTGCAGTAGGACTTCCACTGGCATGGCTGCCAAACAACTGCCCTAGGTATGGAAAGAGGACTGCGGCGAGTGGGTTCCAATTGACGGTTGGGAATGCGAGTGGTATCATGGCGCCATTTGTGAGTTTCCACCTCCCTCTACGGTGGTAAATGGATGATAACTAATGGTGATTATGTGGATTGGTAGATTTATCTTTCGGCAGATAGTCCTAGGTATATCAAGGGACATGCCGTGTCCCTCTCAATGGTAGGATTTGCGGGCCTCATTTATGCCTTTATGTGGGTACGTAGTATCATCCTTCTTTCTCCTAGGCGTATCCTTTAGCTGAGCATTTGTGCCATCTAGTTCTGGCTCTCGAGACTCAATGCACGCCGCGCGCGAGGTGATGAGGACCATCTAGTTGCCGGAATGAGCGAGGGGGACATTGCGGAATTGGGTGATGAGTCGTATGTTACCCCTTTCTCCAGAATTTCTGAGTATGTGCTGATTATTGTAGGCCGAGATACAAATACACGATTTGATGAATGAACGGGGGTGCTGTAAGATTGTAATGGACTCGATGCTGTTTTGTTTAATTAATGAGTAAAAGCGATTATTTTCTTTTGTTGGTTTTGTTGGTTTGTATGATTGAATAGCTGTATACCAAGCTTTAGACATGGAACACGAAGTATTGTAGCACAATAACTGGCCAAAGGGCGCCTGGGACCGAGTGCTTGGTAGAACGCTGTGAACGAAACCAATGCATGGTGGAGCTACATGACGGTCAGCACATAAATAGCGAGATTAGTTAGAGGCGAAGTACGTCTGAAGTACGTACCACCATTCGCGTTGAACACAATCCACACCTTCAATTGGACTCATTAGCAATCAAATTCCACCGCCAAAATCCGTCGAATACATAATGCAGCTTTAGAGCTACGAACCGAGCTCTGAGCTGGAGAAAAGGTAGTGGATATTGGACTAGAACCCTAACCCTGGCTAGCTAGTAGGTATTTACCGTACCTGAACGCCCCTCAGGTACATACGAGATACCCAGTAATAGACTCATAGATACATGACAGACACGAGAATGGATTGCCACGCAGGGTTCCAGGGATGATGGCCAACGGCTGTCTATAACTGTAGGGATGAGACAGAACTCTACCGCCGTCTGTCGCTCTGGCGCTCGCTAATGAACTCTAACAGCAATGACACCTGTCAGTACGGGGGTTATTATACCTATGTAGATATAGCAGAAGCACATATAGTACTTGTCCCAAGGCTTGATCCGCGGGGGAGGAGGAGGAGGGGTTTCATGCACTGTTTAGACAGTTTCATAAATTAAGCCACTTACCTCACCTCACTTCTGGCTCATGAGGCTCCCTCTGCACTCTCATCCCTATTGTGCCTCTGCCTCTTCGAACTTTCAAGCTCAGGTACGGGAATAACGGTACCTACCTGCCTGCTCATACCTATTTGCCCTCCTCTCCCACATGTCTCAATCCATGTTGTGCATGTGCATGCAGCAGGACAACCCATAACCCATCCACAACATCCATAACGTCCTCCACCACACACACACGCACACACAACTAACTACCTAACTGCACACCACACAGCCTTGCCTGCCTCTGCTTGCCTTACTGACGAAGCTTCGGCAACCGGAGCCCTCACAAACCGGTAATCCGATGACTCTGCTGTAGCAGGGCAGCCTATCTAGAACACCTTTCTACCTCTACCTCTATCTACCCACCCACGCTGCACTTTCCCCCACAACAACCTCGACACAACACCCACCTCAAACAATGAATCCATTCAGGAAGAAGTCCACTGCGCCGGTGTCGACAACTCCTGTGGTAGATGTGCCGCCAGATCTATGGGGAGATATAATGGATCCAGGTATGAGTCTACCATCCAGTTCTGCCCCCCACATGCCCCCTCCCAAATTAACCCCGGATTAACAATTACAGCGCCGATCGCCTCTCCGGAAGCTGTGGAGGAGAATCCATGGGCGGATGTACCTCCGAGTACCACTTCACCACCTCCGTCGGTGGTGTTGTCTCCAGCTAAGCCCACGTCAACGGCAGCCTCAACCCCCTCTGTGGCTGCCACAACTGCCTCTCCCCCGCAACCCAAGGTTGCCCCGCGAAGCCCCCCACCACCTGTAGCTCCCCGCCGTAGATCCCAGATACAGCGGAAAGCTCCAGTGCCCGAGCCGGAGCCTGTGGAACCCCCAATCGATGATCCCTTCAATACCGACACCTCCGAGCCGGAGACACCACCCCTTAACCCGTTCAATAGGAGCTCTTCGGAACCGCCTGAACCTGCACCGCCGAAGCAGAGGCAAAGTCTTGATGTTGATGCCTTTAAACGGCTCATGTTAACGGGTTATGCCGACACTCCGCCAGCAGCTACTACAAAGGACGGATCGTCGACTTCCGAAAGCAGTGGATCCAGATTGTCCATATTCGAGCCCATACTAGAGTCCAAAGGTGGTGAAACGCCACGGAGTAGTGAAGAAGTAGATGTGGAAGGTAGGCGGAAACCGCCGCCACCAAGACCTCGTAGGGTGTCTCCTCCGTTGGGGAGGAGTGCGTCGATACGACTATCAGTGCCTCCTCCACCGCCACCGCCTGCTCCGACGCTTACGTCGCCTGCCACTTCGCCTCCTATTGGCTCGGTCTCGCCAATTGTCAGGACCCCCAATTCACCGCCGCAAGCTTCACCGCCGGCCTCGCCAGCGACATCGCTCAAGAAACGTCTGGTTCCTTCACCTCCGCTTTCGCGCAGACAGTCCGTACGCTCTTCTGTGGAATTGGAGCGACCATCAACTCCTAGTGGTGGGTCGGGAAAAGTGAAGCCCCCGCCTCCACCCCCACCAGTGAGGAGGATGAAGAGTACAAACCACAGAACCCATGAGCGCACTCCAAGTATCGGGAATATGCCGCCACCGCCACCACCCCCGCCGAGAGGCAGGACCGTTAGTGGCAGCACAATAGAAGAGAAAGTACCGGAAGAGAAGGATATCCTAATAGATCTCCAGAAGCTGCAGAGAGAGGTCGATGAGCTGCGGGGGAAGTATGAGCAGGGGATCGTGACGGTGGATTAGGTATATAGATATGTAACTGACGCACCATGTTGGAGTTCGTGCTGGGCGCGCGGGATGGATATTTTTTCTTTATCCCTCTCTTTATTTTTTCTTTTTCTTTTATATGGGTTCTATACCTTTTTGCAAATTGGTCTTTCGTTATACCATATCCAACTTCTGTGTCTCTTTTCCTTCATTTCATTGCGTTTCGTGGGCTGGTTTGGTGGGTGGTTGGGTTGGGTTGCAATTGGTGGGTGGGTGGCTGCGAATTTGACCTTCGAGTACTTGTATGGGCAGTATGGTGCGGTAACTATCGGTGATGTGGCGTGTGGTGTGATGTGATATAGTGATGTGAGACGGTACAGTGATACATGAATGGAGATAATTTGGCGCTGGTGTGATTTATGGGGTTCTGGGAGGGAGGTATGTGTGTGCTGGGAATATAGAGGTTTAGGTGCGCGCAATTGGTTTGTGGGGTTCGTGGTTGTGTTGGTGGTTCGCATGAGATATCACTCGAGGTCGGTTTCCGGTTATGGTGTTGGCTAGCCTAACTCCGAGGGATTCTCTACATCTACCGAGCGACAATTCGCCGAGTGATCATCTCGTGCTCTCACTCGATTGATGGTTCATGCTCCGGCTTAACCTCAGACGCATGGGATTTCGGATTTGGGAATCAAGTCGAGTGACTACATGTATTTATGTTGAACCTGTCTGTTTGTAAACGAGTGAGTGCATACACTCTCGTCCGAGCTGAAGTGTCAACCGAGTAATACCTAACCGAGTGACCGCTCATGAACGGCCCAAAGCTTATTGTTAACCCACTAGTTACATAACATTTTCTCCCCCAAACTCCCTCAACCTACCACCACTGGCGCTGTCAAAAATAAATACAAAAAAGGAAAACAGAGAGCTATAATTGTTTAACCCAGTTTCTGTCCTCTACCTCGTCCCATTTTCCTTTATCATTTAGCTCTCTGAGTATGTACCCCCTTTATGCCATGTCTTGATGTATCCAATTGCCAGTTATCGTCACCGCTACCAAGCCCCCACTACACTAATGGTTAGGCCGCACCCTCTTATATCTGCAACCGCCCTTTTCCTCGACCGAGTGATCACCCATGAACGACTCACAGCTTCCCCAGCATGTGCAGTCGGGCAAATAGGTGGGTGTGTGTAGTATATAGGTTAGGGAGCTAGGTCTATCATAACTACGATAGATCGCAGAGGCGCTTCTACATCCATACATACTATCCCGGACCGTAAGCTATGATTTAACTTCATCGGTGCGTGGGTGTGTAGTCGAACAGTTAGTTATCCACAACCCTTTTTTTGTCGGGGCGAGTGATACGCTATGATGTGATGATTTGGTTTTCATCGTGGGGAAAGTTGGAGGTGGTGGTATTATGTGTAAAAGGAAATGATTGGACTTATAGGGATGCTACTTGTGTTGAAGACTAGCTAAGGGGGGGGGGGGGGGGGGGGAGGGGGTGGTGGATATCTGGGTTTTTGGGTACGCAGGGTCAATGATGGGCATCGGTTTCGGAATTGTAACAGCTAGAATACTGAAGCGTGCAGTCGTTGGTATGTGCTATCCCAACTAATATACCCGCCACTATCAGCTATATGGTATCGTAAGATTTCCACGACTTTCCCGAGGAATATATATTCATGTAGTTCACACAATAGGGCCAATTGATCCCGTATCTTTAGAGTACCAATTACTCCCCATCATGCCAAACAGCATCCCCAGAACCCGGCCGGTAGAGTATCTCTCCACCGCCAAAGGAAGGAAAGGAGATTTCTATGAGCTCTGCCTACTATAAATACAAGAAAACCGTATTTTTTTTTATATACAAAACGTCCCCACCACCTATCCATCTCCACCATTAGCACACAATCAGCACACCCAAAACGACCCCAGAGGGCAAGGCAAACACACTCACCACAACACTACCTCACGGCTTCCCCGCCTTCGGCTCCGCCTGCGCCTGCCCCACCGGATTCGGCATCCCCACAGACTTTGCCCCCTCGGCCTCCAGCTTCTTGAACGTCTCGTTGCGATTATACTCCATGACCCTCCTCTTCTTAAAGTACTCGACCTATCCCCCACCCCCGCCCATCACCCAGCACCCATCAGCCTCTTCCACGCGCCCTCCTCCTCACACCAGGGAGGAAAACCTACCCAGCTGCCCACACACTCCTTCTCGAACGCCGCCGACGACGGCGCACACTTCTCGCCCGCGGCGGCGCTGTTCTTGATGGGGTCGATGATGTCGTTGCGGTCCAGGCACTGGAAGAAGCTGTCGCGCGCCTCCCAGCATTTTGCGCGCTGGCTCCGGTTTGGGGCGACGCCCTCGATGGCCGCGGGGTTTGCGGCGCTGCTGCTGCTGCTGCTGCTGCTGCTGCTGCTGAACCAGCCCATTGTGGTGAGTCTGTGGTTGTGGGAGGTGGTGGTGCTAATTGATTGGGGGTGTTGGTTTCTTTGGTGTTGGGGGGGGTGTTGGGAGGAAGAGTACTTGTAATGACGTCGGGGGGTTGTTGGTTGCTTAGAGGGAGACTGGATGGCGGTGGTGGGGTTTGGGGGTAGGAGAGGAAATGTATGGATGTCTCTGCAAACGGCCGCGGGGGAGAGGGGCGGTATTGGCGAGTGTGGGGCGGCGCGGAGAGAGAGGGCTGGTGTATTTGTGCGTGGTTGTGTCACTGGTGGGCATGATCGACAGGGCAGGTACGTACAGGCAAGGCAAGGCAAGGCAAGGCAAGGCAAGACCGGACAAGACAAGACAGGCCAGGCCAGGCCAGACAAGCCAGACAAGCCAGACAAGCAAGACAAGCAAGACAAGCAAGACATGAGTGGTCCGTGTTCCCACCTCATTTTACCGTCCATCTAGCTCCAGCTACCTACATACCTACATACCTACATACCTACCTACCTATCCTATCCACAGAACAAAAACAAAACTTTCCCTCCACATCGCCCCCCTCCCCCCTCCCCCCCTCGCAAACACCACAAAAACACAAATGCCCAAACGACCACGCCGCATCCGCCGCCCCGCCGCAAACTCGTTCCAGCCGCTGCAGACATTCCTCCAGATCCTCTCGCTGCAATGCATCTACTACGTCACCTCGACGGCAACGATCCTCTTCAGCGCCCTCGTCGCCGGCGTCCCCTTCGGCCTCGACCTCATCTTCTCGGCCGAAAACCTCAGGGGCGACACGGCGATCGGCTGGACCCTCGGCATCCTCTGGGTGCTTTCCGCTCTGGTGATGTTCGTTGTCTCCCTCTCTCCCTCCCCGGGCCCCTATACCACCAGGTGCTCTAAAGCCAAGCTCGGGCCTCGGATGCTAACGCACACATGCATCTACAGGGTGATTGCGCAAACGCTGATCCACGCCCGCTCGAAGCTCGTCCTGGACTTCTCGCTCACGCTGCATTTCCTGCACCTGGTTGTGGTCGCGCTGTATGATGGCGCCCTGCCCGCGTCGTGGTTCTGGTGGGGCGTGCAGGTCGTGTCGGCGATGGTGATGGTGGTGGTCGGGACGTGGGCGTGCACGTGGCGGGAGCTGAGGCCGATCCCGTTTGGTGGGAATGGCGGCGCGGGGAGGGTGGGGGTGGGGGAGGGGAGTGCTGGTGGTGGGGCGGATGGGGGTGGGGAGTATGAGATGGTGCAGATGAAGGAGGAGGAGGTGTAGCGGCTACGGCTACGGCCGCGGATTTGCGTGTGGGGCTCGCTTTTTTCTTTTTGTTGGCGTTGGGATAGATCCTTTGCTGTTTTTTTTGTTTATTAGTTATAGGCTTTATTCCATTATTTTGGCCGGGGACAGCATGGGCTTCTTGTTACTTGTTTCTTGTTTTCTGTTTTTTTCTTTTTGTTGGGTTCTTTTTTTGCATGCATCATCAATACGTTTTCATCACAATCTCCCCGTTTTCTTTATTCTCTTTGTGGGTACAATATTGACACACTCCTGGGTTCCGGCGGTTATCCATCTGCTTCTTTTAACAAAAAACGCAGTCTAATTAGAATACTTAACAAATTGCTCGCTTTGCTGGAGCTACATGCTTAAATAACCAAAACTCTGTTGGCGCGTGGCTGGTGATGAGTATTTTTGGTAGCTCCGGGGATTGGGTTGGGGAGAAGGTGACATATAGACGTCTTCTCGGGCTAGATACTACATAAATTAACAGTACATACTCCGCCCAATTATTAGCACCCCGCCCGTTAGTGGCCCAATGTTAGTCCGTCCAGCTAATAGATGTAGTATCTCACCTCATACATTAGTAGCCAGCCCCCTTGCCCATTAGGAGTCCCCCGCGCATTAGTAGAGCAACACCCCGCCAATCAGCAGTACATGTTACTTCCATAGTAGCATCCTATACATCAATAATAAGTATCCGCCCAATGTATTAGTGCTACTCCGCATAATCAGCCAAGAGCCCTCTCGCCTACTAGCTAGCTAGCCTATTGGATAGGTAGTAGTACTGCAACATAGATAATCACTCGGTTTCTGAGTTCTGGGTGCTGGGTGTTATTACTTCCCGTGCATATGAGATGACGAGATTGGTGGCGGCAAGCTTAAACTAGTTTTCTCAATTGAAAAAACTCGAGCTTTTTGGGGTGTTATCTCTCTGCATATTCCCGGCTTGAGCCCATACTAGATCTATATGCTCATATTACCCTTCCGTCATTTGATTATAAAATCCTCAAGTATTCAACCCTAACCCTAACAACATATGTTTACACAAAGAGATCTAGAATGACTTCTGGAACTCCTATCTGGGGCCACTGAAAAGCCCGAGCTCAGCTCGAGCCACTCGAGCTTTTGCAAGTCGAGGCAAGTCGAGCAGCTGTTATCACGAGTCAAGTCAAGCTTTTCCTCCTGCTCGTCTCGAGCCGGCTCGTCGACCACACTACCGTCTTCTCTACCTGATCATGACTAACACTTGAGCCGTGAACAACAGCGAAGAAGAAGAAAAGGGAGCGAGGTAGAATAGGAGAGGAATAATTGGGGGTTGGGTGTGAGTGTGTTTGTGAAGACAAGGGAGGGGAGAGCTTCTGCAGATGACGGGACTATGATTGAGAAGAGAGGGGGGGGGGGGTTGTTGTAGAGCAGAATAGAGTAGTAGAAGCAGGAGATATTACCGGCAGAGCAGAGGTATCTTCGCCACATATCCAGCTAGCTAAAGAAACATAATAACCTTCCCAAACTACGTCTTATATAGCACCCGTGTGGGCCGGGCTGCCGGGGTTATGTTCTATTCGCCGTCTCTGTTTTTAACCCGGAACGAGAGTTTTTATTTACTGTGCAATTAACGCCAAGACTAACTATCATCCCCCCTTTGATATCTAATGGGTACACACTCAAAGAGCCGAAGACAAACCACGGCTACAAACAAATGAAAATTTAATTACCTCCCCACGACAAGAAAGCGCACCGAGTGACCAACCATGACGCAGAACCCCTACCCACCAGCATCAGGATATATCACTCGAGGCTTTGTCCCCTGCTTTGAATTATGGGATAGAGGAGTATTTTGTGGTGTGTCGATACCTAGCTATTTACAACCAATTCCTAGTATCATTTCCCGTGTATACAGCATAGCTCTATAAAAACTAACAATGAGGGATGAATATGTTGGTTTTACATTCTTCGCTACTTGCCCTTACTCTCAGCAGAGGCTAATGCTTATGCTGTCTGTACAGTCCTAATCGAAAAGCGTTTATCTTGTCTTTGCAGTCCGTGCTGCCCAATGAATTAAACAAAAAAAAAAAAAAAAAAAAAAAAAAGTCCGTGCTGCCCAAAGTCTATGTTGTTCGCAAGATACGTGTTTAATTTCACTCTTTAGTTGGTATAAAATAATGGCCTCTCATCCAGCTTCAGTTCCATCAGATCACATAACATACAACGCAATTCCCTGTCTGTCTCTACAATAGTTTTTGATTTCGCACAGCCATATTTCGAATTTCGGAACGGGCATTACGGACCGTACTCTCGGAAGAGTAGGGTTATTCATAGATTTCGGGTTATACATCGGATCGGGGTTCCGGGGGTATTTGTGTCCGTAATTCCGAAAGAACTCTAGGGAATTGAGGCCCCCAACTCTATCTCGAGACTCTACCATGCAGTGGGAAAAGGTGAATATATACAGCCACTGTGACAGTCGCTGGCTGTATGTAACTGGCTAGCTAACTGGCCATCTAGGTACATAAACAACACCGGGGGCATGTTACTGGGGCAATCCCGAATTTATTCCGTCCTAGGTTACCATTTAGCCAGATTAACTGTCGAAAACTTGCCCATAAAAGGTACATATGGCCTATTGCTTCCTCCAAGCCGAGAATACCGAATCTCTTACCCCGACTCCGAACTTATTCTCTCCTGTCTGCTACGCCACACATCACAAGCATCCATATAGGTGCTAAAATCATTGACCATACGCAACACTGCCAAGTATTCACATGCCTCCTTTGCATGCAGACAACTCATGTACGACAGTTTTATATTTATATCTGGTACTCGAACCTTCCAATCTTCCCCACATCTCCGCGGTGGGCCAAAATATCACTCAAATAGGTCTTCAACCGGTGAGGCTATCTCCACGGTTGAAAGCCTACTCCTGGGACGCTAGATAGGCAAAAACAAACTACTCGCTGGTATGAAAATAGTTTATCTGCTCGTATCGTATACGTACAATCGTATACGTACAGCCGAATACACAACACGGTGATATCCCCGAGGTTGATCAATGGTCGTTGGCGCCGCCCAGTTGATGAGTTAAAAACAACAACAATGATCATTGGCCCACCAACATGCCGACCCCAGGTTTAAAAAAACGAATCCTGTCAACCCTTGCTCATGGTAGAGCTGCATACGTAAGTCATGTCAAAGCTTATACGAACTGGTTATATGCATGTAATATCTAGCTCTCATAAGCCTCCTTTTTTTTACCTTTTTACTTTTTTTTTTTCAAAATTTCATCTAGAGATATGATTTTCAGGCTGACTCGTGGATAGTGATCGATGATGCAGATGATAGTGATGACGATAATGATATGTACGTACAAAGCCCTCAATCCTTTACGTAGTTCAAGAATATCCATACTCCAAGTATACCTTACTACTGTAGATTAAGTTCTTTTTTCTTAAGTCCGACTATGGCACTGGCTTGAAAACGCCACGATGGGGAGCCCTTCAAGCACTTATACCGAGTAATCCAGGCGGACGTGCAATTCCGGCATCTTCCAGACTACCAAAAGTTTGTAATCGCCGTGGCTCGCATGTCTGCGCCGCGCGTATCATTTAGATACGCCGATAGAAGAAAAAAAAAGGAACATACATGTATCTAAGCTTAATCTTAATTTCGACAGTGACAGTGCTGATCACAATATCACATCACCGCAGCAGCTATATACGATAAGTACATGCGTCCCTAATAATAGTCATCACCCCGCAACTCTCATACTATCCAACTACTAGTTCAAAGCCAGCATTCCCATGTCCAGAGAGGCTTATATCGACGAAGTGACTAACTAATCCACTCAAACCCTGATTACTTGCCCGCCAAAAAGTCTCCGGCCCCCCCCCCTCGTATTCCAATATGCTCCAATCAGTGCTTTGAAACTACAGACCTCCAACCCATTCACCGGCGTAATCCTTTCCATTTCTCCACCAATCTGTAATCACACCTCATCACTCGGCCCGCCGCCCGCCCCATCCAGCCAGCCCTAACCCACGGCGGCGGCGGCGGCAGCAGCAGCAGTATCAGCAGCAGGTCAGCGATCCGATCCGCCCGAATGGAATTGATCGCTAGAAGCTAAAAGAAGCACCACCATATGTCATCAAAGGAACGCACATCCGCGCACTCTATCTGTCAGCTTGCTTGTCGATAGGCAGACTGGCCATATGACTCTCTCGCATCCTCTCTTGCACCAGTGATTGACTCACCTTCGCTCGCAATTAATCAAGCTTCAAGAAAGTGAATCATGTCAAACAAGGACTTGGCCGAAGCCCGACACAATAGTTAGTTACAAGCACAAGTGTACCACAGCTCGCGTATGTATCCGAACCAAATAAGCACCATCCCCAGAACACAAGTCGAAGGCTGGGGGCTGGAATTTAGAAGTGTCTCGGAAGCACCTGGCTAGCGAGCCCTACTCTATATACACACGCACATATGTACTTATTCAGGTCATGTATGTAAGAGCGAGCGAGACTTTCTTTTCTTTGTTCGTCCGCTCGGGAGACGAGTAAAGGCTTGTAGTCAGGTAGCATAATAGTTTAGTGTAGTGTAATATGTGTCCTTCGGGGATGTGAACGCCCGGTGTCGGTCCGGAATACTAGTAACGCCGAAGGCGCGATTCACCTGAACTCACTCATTAATTGTGGATTGTAATTCTTCGCCTTTTAATTCTAGATACACTTCGACATACATACAAGCTTAAGCTGTACTCTCCATACCTTACTCGATCAAGCTAAAGCTAGATAAAGCCCATATCCATATGATGGCCATCTCGTACCACCCAAATCGACGAAATGAAATGAGCTGAGGCGATGCGGTGAAAGGCTACTATTCCGGGCTTTTGCAATCAAAGGCTTATCCATGCTACTGTACATACTCTACTCTGCGTACGATACATGGCTGTACCTACTCTACTCTGCTCTACTCTACTCTACTCCAGCTAGGGCACTCAACCC